TTTGTACAACAGCTCGGTCACAGCGTACATCAAAATAACTTGAAGGGCTGTATGTGTGTTTATCCAGGTGGTAAGTGGCAGAAGTGGATGGAATAAATCAGATGGGTAGATTGTTCTGCCCAGTTTGGTATATTTAAAATTTCTGGGGATTTTGAGTCAGTGCCCTGTGTTGACCATTCAGAGACGTTAAATATTGACGCATTGCAAGGGTGTCACACACATGCTTAATTCCACTAAAAGATCGCATGTGGTGGGGTGTTCACAAAGAAAGAAAGAAGAATCGTGGTGACTCCCCTGCCAGACGAGCGGTGCTGTGGCTCTGTTCTTGGCTGTCACAGAAAAACCATGAAGTTATGAATAAATGGGTACTAATCCTACAGAAGAGCAGCAGCAAGCCTTCGTTTTGGGGTTTGCGAGCTGCAGAGGGGAGTTGCGCAGGTGGGGCACTCATCCGCAGCAAACTGCACGGTGCCTGCGGCTTGCTTGGGCTCAGGTCGCGGTGGTAGAAGCCTTGCCAGGAGAGCCAGGAGTTTGCCTCTAAAAATCAAGTGTGTGGGTGACCAGAGCACTGGCAAGGCTGGACCTTGCAGTGACCCATGTCCAGCAGCAGCACTGGGCATACACTGAGCAATTTTTGCAACCAGCCAGTCACACGGTTCACTCTCCAAGGAAACTTTTTGGTTTCCGGCTGTTTAATAACCCTCTTAGTGGTTTTGATTTTTCCTCGAGTTTTAATGAAAAGTGGTTGCACACGGCAGTACTAATTGCCAAGGTTTCCTAAGCAGCTCTCAGGGCTTCTGCATGCCCTTGGCATTGCTGGTGCTGAGTTATCGCCTGGGGAGCTCCTGGGCTGGGCCTCCCGCTCCCATTTTGCTGGGGGGAGATGATGCACACCCCACTCACTCCTGCACCCAGCCACTGGGACAATGGTAGTGAGTGGGAGTGGGAGGCTGGGAAGAGGGATAGAGCGTGGCAGATGGTACCACCAATGGCACGTATGTTTTGAACCGATTGCTCCATCTTGCTTGGCTCAGAGGCTGCCACAAGCAGGGGTTTCATCCCACCCATGGGAGCTGGGGCTGTTCACCCCCTCCTCTGACAAAAGCAGAACCTCTTCGTTTTCTGCAGCAAGAGATAAGAGTTGAACAGCTCTGCTTGCTACCATGACCTGCTCTGGATGTATGTGCACCATCTGAGCATCCTCTGGGGCTTTGAACCCAATGGCTTTTGGTAAGTTCAGGCAGCAGCACTTGGGGAGAAACGAGCAGTGCCCCAGGGAGGGATGAGGCATTACAAATGCCGCACTTCCTGCTGCCAAGCAACTCTTTCCTCATCCCCAGAAGAGGTCATTTCGAATGACTCGCTTGCTTCAGGACACTCCTGAGTTAGGCAACTCACAGGCATGGTTCTGCCAGGAACCAGCACTGCCAAAAATCCTGGTGGCCATTGAGCTGCTCTAGAGCATCCCATGCTGCTATGAAGGGCAGTGAGTGGGAATACGCTGGCTTGGCTGCTTTTCGGGACAAATAACCCCAGATCCCTGCCCTTCAATGCCACTTGAAGACACTCGCATGCAAGTTTCTGTTTTCTCAGACATGTGCAACCAAACACATATCCTGTAGGTGGGAAGGTATTCTGTCAGTGTTTTCCTTGTTCTCTGAAGCTGGTTTTAATATATGGATAAGCTCTTTTATCCCTGTTTCAATATTTGCAGTATTGATTTCCGTGCCCTTGCCGTTTATTTTCTGCAGCCCTCTCTCGCTTTATTTTTCCTCGTGCCTTTTCATATTGTTTGCTGTAGGTGTAGGCTGTGGATGTGTGTCCACAGTGCAATCAGTCAGCATGGTCATACCTGCACACTCGGAGGCAGTTAATGGGTCGGCGGCAGCAGGGTGGGTACGGCCCAAGTGGAGCTGCACCCACCCCATTGGACCCTTTCCAAGCACATGCTGAGGATCTGCTGCCCCTGGGATGAAGCAGATGCAGGGTGGGTTCTTCAGATTCAAAAAGGAGGCAATTTCATTTAAAAAAAAAACAAAAAAAAACACAGCTCTGGAAGAAGTGACGCATGGAGGTTTGGGGGTGTTTTTTGTAATTTCTTGCACAAAATTCTAAAGAAGTGTTTCGCTGAGAAGCAGAAGTGCCTTATCCTGAGTCATTTTAGTCCAATACGTAACGTAATGTTCTCCGCACTGAAGCGTGCTCATTTCAGTGTTCCCTGTGCAAGGGTTGTACCAGGGTTGAGGGTCGAGCAGTCATAGCACTGAAATCCCCTGTTCAACCTTTACACAGAGTTGCTACCTATATATCTGATTTTGCAAGTTTGCCTGTTGCATCTCAGGCAGGGAAGAAGAAAGAGATATTGAAAAATACCCAGAAAAAATATTTTGACATCACAGCATTTTGACCTGCTGTTACAGGTCTGGATTTTCCCAAGGTGGCCAGGTCTAACGCTTCGATTTCCTGTGATGGCCACAGGACTTCTCTTTGCTACACAGGAGCGTTTTGCCTGAGTAGGGATCACAAGGCCATAAGCCCACGTTTGGTATACGTGTAGTTGTGTTCTCTGTTTTGTCTTTGCCTTCTTCGGGAGTAGAGTCCTCGGGTGGTTCTGGGTTGGGCACAGAGCAATATGGTTTGTATTCCTTCTGGAGGCAAATGCCCAAAGCTAGTCACCTACGTCCGTAACTTTAGGTCCAGAAAACTCTCTTCCAGTGTTCGGTGAGAAGGAAACAATGGAATTTCTGCAATAATTTTATGGACATCAATCACTTCACTGGTATTTGCCTGCGAGAAACTCATTAGCAGGTAGCTGGGGCCAGATGACTCGGAATCAGTTAAGATCTGGGCTTGGCCATCTTGCATCAACCCCTGACGTCCGATTGCTTGCCGCAGGCTGGCTCATGTAAGGCTGGAAGAGAATCTGCCTGCCGGGATCACGGGATGCCCTCGAAGCACGGCTCCCAGGCCACTGTCGTGGTGTGTGGTTGGTGTTCATGGATGAGAAGGGATCACATCAACGCTCCTTTCAACATGTCGGGATCATTACATGGATGAGATATGTCTCACTGCTAGGAAGTTCTTAATGATGACCAAGATGGTGACGGGAGGACCAATGTAGCACCTTGAATAAGGTCCAGCTCCAAAGAGACGGACCAAACCCTCCACTGTTCTCCATCTGTGCAGGTTTTTTTTTAATGTTAACCCCCCAAGACTTCTCATTACTTACAGTTCCCTGGGCTGTGAATCAGGAAGGACTCAACTAGATGGTTATAAAAAATGGAGGTTGGTACATCACTATCATAAAGGCAACTTCTCCATAACTAGACACGGGGCAAGTGAATAAGACTGTAATGCCAAGGATTGGGTTGCACTTCATCTCGTTCCTGTTTGACATCGATACCCGTGGTCATGCTCTGCAAGTTTGACTTGTCATTTTTGATACACAAAATAAACAAAATCTGAGAGAAAGGGCACGCTTGTAAATAGGGGAGCAGCCACTGGGGAATTATGATTTTATTTGTTTGCATTTTATTACCTTCTTATGCCAGCTAATAAGGTGACTTGCCTTGCAGCAGGAGGATGCAGATAAGGCTGATGATAGCCGCTGGTGTCTGATTTTGCAAGCTGGGAAGTGAGTTGCTGAAGTGATTGGTAATAGGCTGGAGATTGCCTGTGGAAAAGATATCATCTCCAGCTTCTGTTGATTAGGAGAGTTTACCTTTATGAGAGGGATTGAAGCTATTAACTGTTGTAATTGTGAAAAAAAAAAAAAAGCCTCAAAAAGGCTGGTATTTTTCATAGCTTCATCAAGGAGGAGGAAAAAATGCCACGCTGATGAACCCCAGGCAGCCCCCCTGGCCACTCCAGCCAGCGAAGACAAAAGGGGATTTGCCTGTAGGAGGGACAGCCATCACCTGCTGATGACATGAAACACGCCAAAACCATGTCTTTGAAAAACATTCCTGCAGTTTAAGTTGGAATCCCTTTTCTCAGGCCTTGCCAGCAGCTGTCAGGGAGGGTATTGCCGTTCAGTGGCCTCTCCTGGCAGGGCAGGCTGGGCTGAGCCCGGGGAGGAGGCTCGTGCAGGGGTGTTGTGCCATACGCCAGGTTTAGTGCCCTTGAGTTGAAGTACTGCCAGGGCATAGAAAGAGAAAATGGGAGCGGGGAAGAGCAGCAACTGCACAAAGTGAAAGGAGAACTAACAGCCTGATGCTTTCTACAGGCATAAACCAAAAATTGCTGTAGACAGTGATGAAGTGGTTTGTGGCAGGGCAGAGCACACGCCCTTTTTTTTTTTCCTTGAACTCTGAGACCCCACACGAGGGGCAGAGCATGCGCGCTGTTGAAACCGGCCTTTGCAAAACCCAGTAGGGCTGGAAATGTGACCGTCCCTGGTGAACACATTCCCTGTCTCCACCACTGACCCTCCAGCATGCAACTACATACAATTTTTCTCGGAAGCAAAGCATTATCAACACCAGCCCATTCCTGTTTGCAAAAATCTGTGGGTTTTGCTGTAGGATGACTGTGTCAACACAGTTTAAGCTGCCTCCAACCAAGGATGGAATTATATGTATATAACAGGTGGAAACTGGATGAGAAAGCTGCTCTCAGTGCCTTCAGATGAGGTAGATTGCTCTGTTGCTGCAGTGGAAACCAGTAATATAGATCATAAACGTTCAGATTGCATGTGTTATTGCTGATGTTATTGTACCAACATTCCATATACTTTACTTCATCCCATGCTGGTTCTGAACAAAAATGTCTTTCACCTTTCCAGGAGGAAAGAAATGCAGAGCAAAAGCAACCCTGAGAGGTAAATTGGGACTGTAGGGTTTTTTCAGGAGTGAAACATGCACTTGCCAGCACATTGTCTGCTGCTGAATGGTGAGTGATGCTCTGTCTACTAAGAACACTGGCAGCTCAGATCTTCATCCAGATGTCCTGCGAGATTAGAGCTGTGTACTGAACCCTCTGTGCCTTGGGATGTGCTCGTCATGCTCTCAGGTAAGGACACCCAACATTCACCTGCGGGCAAGCGGTGACATGCCCCAGGGGTGGGATCTGCCAGCTCAGCACCCGGCTGGCACCCTCATCTCAGCACCAAGCAAAACAGTCCTCCTAAAGCAAATACGCAGCTATCTGAATTGGTGGAGCAAAGTCGGTGCCTTTGAAGGCTGTCACGGGGAGATCTTGTTTAGGGAGATCCCACGTTCCGATGCGCCAGCCTTGCAGGCTGAGTCCTGCCTTGCTGGAGCCCAAGCTGCTGCCATGGGGGGAGGCATCGGGGGGCTGAGCCGTCTCTTCACTTTTGGGTGTTCGAGGAGACATTTGTATGTCTTTCTGGCCACTGTGCCCATATCACTGTTGGCCTGTGCCACCGACTTTCCCCTCCATTGAGTAGACTCATCTCTCCATGGCTGGTCACCCCGAGGAGCAGTGTGGCAGGGAGCTCCTGACCCACCATGTCTTTTACTCCTCCTGGACATGGCCTGTTTCTCCTCTTTCCCACCCAGTGCTCCCACTGGGCCATCTCCCCTGGCATCGCCCTGACCCCACAGGGAAGGGGCCAGCACCAGCATCCTTGGGCTTCCCAACCCACACATGTAACTGCTGGGTTATAGCCCACAGCTTCAAATGCTTCTTTCCTAAACATGGTGACAAAAATCTCATTAACACCAAAGAAAGTCAGGCTTGGGGAACTCTGTTTTCCTAAGGATTAAACAATTTGGTGAAGTTAGCCCTGGAGCTGCAGTCCCAGTGACCTGGGTGTCAGGGCATAGGTGCATTCTCGTTACTCACCCAGCCCATGATTTTGCTGTGTGTCAGGGAAGGGTCTGTCCACTTGTCATCTGATTGTGCAAAACCACCGTCCATATGAGTCGGGATTTAAGTTTCGCTATTTTTCAGGGTCTGACTATGTGCAGAGGGAGTTGTAATCTTTTTTTTTTTTTTTTTTTTTTCTCCAGGGGAACTTCCTTTCTCTAAACACCACCCCTTGGCAGTGGACCTGCTCACACCTCAGAGCCAGACACAGATAAAAAGGGCAGCCTCCCTTCCTCCTCCATGCTCAGAACCCAGCGGCAGAGGCTACTCGGGAGCTCAGGAGCTGCTGACATTGCAAGTGCCTTGGGTTGCAACGCCGACGAGAACCATGAGCGATACCACTGGTGAGTTTTTACAGCTTGATACGATAGCCCGTGCTAGCTTTGCGGTTTGACAGGTCTCCTGTGGGGAGGACGGCAGCTCCAGCGAAGATGGAGGGTTTCGCACCCCTCTGACTCCCGTGGGTGATACTTTGGGGTAGGTTTGCTCTGGCTGTCCAAATTCTATTTTTGACGGATCGGTAAACCAACTGAAAAATGCAACCCACTTGTCATCAACCTGTAGACATCTGGCTCTACCGGTGATAACGGGAAAGAAACGCGGCTTTTCTAGACGTGTTCTGTGTTGAGGTGAAAGGAATTTTCTTTCTTTCAGGCTGCTTAATCGTGTAGATTATTGCTCTTTAGCGATGGCTGATACCATCTGACAGAAGTTTCAGAATAACTGAAAAAAGGGATTATCTGGACTTGAGCTTTATCCCAGGCTGTCCTGCCCACCCCATTGTTACAAGATCCTGCACTGACCTCAAAAGGTGCCTGAGTCACTCCCGAACCAGGACAGGAGGAAAGTGGGATGGGAACTGTTGTTTTGCAAGAGACAGCAAGGATGAGGAGTAAATGCAGGTGCCAGATTTTGCTGTCTCTTGCAAAGCTACAGTTCCCATCCCAGTTCCCTCCTGTCCTTCTGAGCAGCCCTTATTCCCACTGAAGCCAGGCATGCTATAAATGCTTTGCTCCATATTAATATTTTTTTAAAACCCCATCACCTCATCCTCATGGAAAAAAGGCCCCAGATCCTTACCAGTGCCAAGCCCTCGTGTCCCCATTTTTGTTCTGAGTGATTGCTGTGCTCTCAAATCTCTGAACGTCTTCCCAGGAAGGCAGCCTGCAATGGGGCCAGCAGGTTATTGTAGGAAGGAGCTCTAGAATGGATGGAAATTATGGAACTAGGGGATAAAAATAAAAATATGGTCTTGAAATTTCTTCTTTAAAAAAAAAGGAAGATGTTATCTGGCAGAATTTGGGTTCGGTTGCCGCGCCAGCCGAGTCGCAGGGTATCGCGGGTGTGTTTGCGCAGGGATAAGTGCAGCGCAATGGACAGGCAGCGCTGTGCAGGGACAGGTTTTCAGCTGTCAGGACATATTCTGAGGCATCTGTTCTCTGTGGTTTTTCTCTGTGCATCCTCCACACCTGTGATTTGCAGAAGCAAGGGGTGGAAATGCAGTCCGTAAGCCAGGAAATGCTGGAAGTACAGATTCCCCACAGCCATGCTGTGCCATCAGCTCCCACATCCCTCCAAAGCCCTCTCCCATCACCAGGGCTGTTTGCTGGGAGCTTCCCCCTGGCACCAGGGTTTCTGTAAGGAACGATGCAGCTTTTGTGGCTGGAGATTTGTTAAGGCTGAGGAAAATGCTCTTCCCCTTTGGCCTTGTCCAGAGGATTAAGTAATTTCAGCTGAAATTTTTTGACATACACGCAGACACTCCCCCTACTCCCTGTTGCACAAAACATCAGCCCAAAGCTGGCATCTGGCAGTGAGCAAACAAAAAGCACTCGAGAATTAAACCAGTTAACGAAAGGTGATGGTCCATTTCAAGTCTGTTTGCTGTACTGATAACTGGTGTGTCATTAAGATAAGTACAGTTTATATAGTTAGTAAGAAGAAATACACAGAGGCAGTAATCTGGTGGCCAGGTCAGTTTACCCAAGGCTGCGGTGGCTTCCTGACAGAGGTGGCAGTGGGAAGCGTGCCACTGATTTCAGCCTGCCCTGGGTCCTGGCATCCCTCGTGCCACTGCAGCTACCCGCAGATTTCAGCGTCTTTGCTCTTAGGGATGGTTCCTGTTGATAGATAACCCAGATCTGTGAATCTGTCAAGATGCTTTATGAACTCTCCCTTAAACCATCATGCCTTTGACTTGCTCATTTCTAAGTTCCCATAAGTGGTTTTAAATTTCCTGACTCTCCCATATCTCCACCTGAATCACTCGTGAGCTAAGTGCTTTAGAGGCATTGTTACTGCCTGCTGTTTACACAGGGTTTATCCTTTAAGGATATTTAATGGGCAGGTACAAGACAAATTAGACACTTCCAAAGAAATAGAGCTTGGCCCTGTTCTGGCATGCTCCGGCTTTCCCTGTCGTGCCTGGACAGCTGCCAAAGCCTGATGGAGCAACCTCCAAATCCCATCTTTACCGAAGGCTGAGGGCTCTATCTTTGCTCAGGCTTTGCTCAAGCATCATGCCAGGTTGTGCCTCTTGGAGCCTGGAGTCCTTTTCCCAGCCCTGCTCCCATCCAGAGCTGCAGGAGGCAAGAGCAGCCAAGAATATGGTGATTTTAAATGCCATGCCCTGCAAAACCAGCGTCTGTGCTGGGAATGAATGGGAGCGAGGCACCCAGCAGGGTCTCTGGCTGGAGTCCAGAGCTGTGCTGAAGTCAAACAGCAAAAGCATCAGTTGGTGTGGAAAGGGACAGAGTGCTGCACCCCACGTTTAGCATCCCCCCGGACAGGCAGCATCTCTGCAGCACAGCTGACTCCTGGCCCCAGGCCTCCCTTTGGGATTTGAGTTGTAGGAGAAACCAAGTCCTTGCAAAGAAAAAAACTTGCAAAGATTCACATATGCAGGCTTCCATAAGAGGTTGGTTAATGACAGTTGTGATGTTATTTGGAACTACTTTTGGAGGGAAAAATACAAAGAATTAGCCTCTGAGTCCATTGCCCGGGCTTACAGCATCCCAGAGACCATCTCCGCAATGGAGGGGAGCCACATTTGGGCATATTCGATTCACTTCCAGCTTGACTGTGTGTGCTATGTTTTGCGAGGAGCAATGAAAGTTACTGTTAATTATTATTTTATAATCATGCAGGATGTGTTTAATGCTAATATAAGGCTAGTCTTTGACCAGAGGGAAATATGCTGGGATAAAATCCCAGCGGTGATGTTTAATTTTTAAGCTGCCCCGTGCTAGCTGGGGACTGCTTGGGAGCATCACCTCTGAACCCACCCTGGCAAGCAGCACTTTCCTCACCCATCCGTATTCCTACTACTACTGCTACTATTGCTACTACTACTGGTGTTTTAATATCTGCCATAATGAAGAAACATTTGTAATAATCTGTAATGTGACAGGGATGCTACGGTGGTCAGGACCTTTGGTGGGCTCCCAGGCGAGATGGTCCAGGGAGCGGAGCTGCCCCATGGCAACTGTGGGGGTGGGATGCGGATGTGCCATCACCGCTTCACTTTCAAGGGGGAAGCAAGGCTTTCGCAGAAACAAGGCTTTCGCAGAAACAAGGCTTTTGCAGAAGCAAGACTTGCTTTCGCAGAAGCAAGGCTTTCAGTATTGCAACAAAACTTGCAGCAATGCCATCCCCCTGGCCCATGGCAGGCTGTGGAGCTGAGTCATGGCTGCCGGCCCCCTCACACAGCTGGCAGTGTGCATATGGCACATTATATTATATTGTGTTTATTATATTTATTTATTATATTACATTTTATTACGTTACATTGCATTATATTATATATGTTATATTATATGGTTCTATACTATACTAGATATTTTAAATCTATAGTTAGTATAGTATTGTTAGTATAGTATACAATGGAATAGAACAGAATGGTATAGTATAGTTAGTATTGTGTATATATGTGTGTGTGTGTATATGCGTGTGTGTATATGTACATGTATATGTGTGTATATATATATATATATATACACACTGTTGTACCACCCATGAGCTCTGGCAATCCTTGCTGTGATGTGATTCCTTGTGCTAGACCACTGGACACTTCGGTGTTTTGATGACCCACGGGGCTCCACTAAGAATAATAATAATAAGAAGAAAACTGTCTTTATTGAACAGTTTACCATTAACCTCCCTTTTCTTTTTTTCTTTCTCCATCCCTGCTCACGGCTTTCCAGGCACCGACCTGAAGGTCACTGGGGTTGACTTTCTCAGGAGCGAGAACTGCCGCCTGCACCGCACGGACGCCTACAACATCAATAACCTGGTGGTGCGGCGCGGGCAGCCCTTCCAGCTCCAGCTCAACTTCAGCAGGGACCTGAAGGCTGACGACAAGCTGGCACTGCGTTTCGGCATCGGTAAGTGAGTTCGTCCTCCACGGAGAGCCTCCAGCTGCCTGTTCCACTGCGCAGTCGTTGCAGACCTGTGCAACCTTCCCACATCTCATGTTGGTTTTGTTCCCAGGTGAAAAGCCCATCAGAGTCAGGGGGACCCCAATGTCACTGGACCCCAGGCGGGACGAGGACTTCGGTGGGTGGCAAATCTCCATCGTCAGGAGCAGCGGCAACCAGGTAGAACCCGTGGGCAGGATGCACCCCGTCCCTCTTCCCCCATGGCCACGGTGGAGGGTCCATCACGCTGTCTGTCCTTCTTGCCTCCCCAGTGTGTACTGTCTGTCACCAGCTCGCCCTGGGCTCCGGTGGGGAAATACACCCTGAACGTGAAGACTGGGAATAACATCTATAAGCCCGAAAATGAGCCTATCTACCTTCTGTTCAATCCTTGGTGCGAAGGTAAGGAGGGTGGTCACTGCAAAGGTTAACTGAGGTGACTGGGTTGGCTTAAAATCCAGATTTAAAAACAAAAAAAAGGATTTTAAAAAAGTGTGTTGGTAGTTGGCATCAGCCCCCAAGTTCTTTCTGCTGTCCACTAAAGTGTTTGCTCAGAAAGAAGCATTTCACTAAAACAGAGGTCATATAGCAACAGACCTACTGGATTAAAATAAAGCCTAGTCTTATAGGAAATTCTTCCATGATAGAAGAAAAAATCTGAAAGTTCTGCATGGTCACCATTTGTTGTGAATGTTACAGACCACCAGCTCCCCGGGTTTAGCTTTCCAAGGAAAACTTTGTATAGCGTTTGTGCAAACCACCTAATACCTGAGGTTTTTTGTTGTTCCAGGGGATGTTGTCTTCCTGGACAGTGAGGCACAGAGAAAGGAGTATGTGCTCAACGACACAGGCTACATATACGTTGGGTCTGCATACAACATATACGGCAGACCCTGGAATTTTGGACAGGTAAAACACAGCCGCATGTTGGCGTTATTACCCTTATTCTCTCTTTCTCCTTTAGGTGTTCCTTTCAATGAATCAGACCTAAAAAAAGTTTAAGCCCATGAGTAACTCAAAGCACTTGGATAATCCTGCCAGCTTCATGGGGAGGGCTCACCTGCTTAGAGTAATCGTCGTTCTTAAGTGTTTTCCCCAGCCACAGTAACCAGTAACCAGGTCATGAGCCATGGGGAGGGCTGGTTGGGGAAAAACCCATCTGGTTATTTACCTATTGCATCACAATTGGGAAAAAACAGGAGAAAAGCACTAGCAGAGGCTGTCATCACTCAAGTGGTGCCATCACCAACTAAGAGGTGAGCTGTTGGGTGCAGGACACGAGCAGCCCACCCTCTCAGGAAGGTGTTCCTCGTGCTGCCACTGAGATAACCCCTGTGGAGCGGTGCAACAAACCTGCTCGGGCTCTAGCTAAGAGCTGGATGCCAGGCCAGGTTTATTGGCACCCTGTAGAAATCACACAGGCACCACACAGAGCATCCTGCACCTTATCCAGTCCTGCTTCCCACCAAAAAATGTTGGAATCTGTTTTTCTCTTTCTTCTCTTTTATTTTCTATTTTCTCTCTTCTCTTCTCTTCTCTTCTCTTCTCTTCTCTTCTCTCTTCTCTCTTCTCTTCTCTTCTCTTCTCTCTTTTCTCTTTTCCTTTCCTTTCTTTTCCTTTCCTCTTTTCTTTCTTTTCTTTTCTTTTCTTCTTCTCTTCTTTCTCTTCTCTTCTCTTCTCTTCTCTTCTCTCTTCTCTCTACTCTTCTCTTCTCTTCTCTCTTCTCTCTACTCTTCTCTTCTCTTCTCTCTTCTCTCTACTCTTCTCTTCTCTTCTCTTCTCTTTTCCTCTCTCTTTTCCTCTTCTTTTTTCTCTTCTCTCTTCTCTTCTCTTCTCTTCTCTTCTCTTCTCTTCTCTTCTCTTCTCTTTCATTTTGTTTTATAAGTCAGTGATTCCAAGCTGCAGGGTGCAGACAACCCAACAGAAGTGCTCATGCCAATGGCTTTTCCACAAAGGGGCCAAAGGGCATTGTCCATAGGGCTGTTCCTATCCCAGTATTTATTCTGCTGTTAACCCATGAGAATTTATATGGATTTTCTGCCAAATTGTGTCTGATCGGATGTTTGACCTGTCTGTGAATTGGACCTCAGGGAACTTTATCAGCGATTGCTAATGAGGAATCTTTTGCTGTAATAATCGGCATTTATGTGTCTTTTTTTTCCCCCTGGGGTTCATTTTATACCTACGTAAATAGACTGGGTATCTGTAGCACTCTTAATTTGTCATTACTCTTGTGAGTAAATTGCAGGGCTGCGGGGAGCTGACATAGGTGATGTGGGACTACTTGCAGGAGTAAGGACTGCTGGCTTGGGCTCCAGCAGTGTTGGCAAGACACGTGAGACAGGCTTTTGTCTGCCAAGGTGGGGTTTTGTTTAAGCCCTTCTTTGGAGAGAACATCTTTGAGAAGTCCTGTAGGCTTGGAAATTCAATATGATAAAGGAAGTTCAGAAGTTAGGACTAGTCAGTTTCCTCCAACTACATAGACAGACTTTGTGATTGAGCAAATTCTATGTTAAAGCGGCATATAAAAACATCTCTACTTTCTCTCCAAAACAGTTCGAGGAATTAGTCCTGGACGCCTGCATGTATCTGCTGGACAAAAGTGAACTCAAGCTGAGCAGCAGAAGGGATCCTGTGTTCATCTCCAGAGCCATGTCTGCCTTGGTACAGCTCTCCTGGAGAAGCGCTTGGCCCCTCCAGCTTCCCCCTCCTTGCTCTTCTTTCCCAGGGGCTTTGAACATTAAGCGTCACTCAGCCCCATCCCTGTATTTTTTCTCTTTGCATGTGTGTGTGACCACAGGTGAATGCCAATGATGACAATGGTGTCCTGCTGGGGAACTGGTCGGGGAAGTACAGCAACGGGACCGCCCCTACGGACTGGATCGGGAGCGTCGCCATTCTGCAGCAGTTTTACAGAACACAGAAGCCGGTCTGTTATGGTCAATGTTGGGTCTTCGCAGGAGTCCTCACCACAGGTAAACAGCGAGCTGCCTCCCTGCTCCAATATCCCAATTACTGCGCTCATCAGCCAAATTACCATGCCTCTGAGCACCGGAGGAGGCAGGGCTTGTCGTGTAAGGAGCGACCAAGGCAGCTGGGATGGCTCAGCCTGGAGAAAAGAAGGCTGTGGGTGTCTTCTCCATGTGTGCCCACCATCCTGAGAGATTTAGTGACCCCTTGTTTTGTCTGTCTGTGCTGCAGTCATGCGCTGCCTGGGGATCCCCTCCCGCTGCGTCAGTAACTTCAACTCTGCGCACGATACGGATGAGAACCTGAGAGTGGACATCTACCTGAACGAATATGGAGAGAAGCTGGACGCCATGTCCTTTGACTCCGTCTGGTATGGCCAGAGGGGGCTGACACTTCCTATTCCCCGTGCCGCCCTGCATTTCCCAGCCTCAGCAGCCTTTCCTTTAAGAATTTCCCTCCTGCTTTGGGTATGCTGCCTGGGAGAGAGGGAAAGCCTGGGGTTTCACAGGGTTACACACAAATCCCCATTAAAACTGCCCTTACTGAAGGAGTAAGAAAGGACACTGTGACTCTGCTGGCTGTAACAGCTCACTCCTGTTTTTTTTGCCCAACCCAAATGCACACAGGAACTTCCACGTGTGGAACGACGTCTGGATGAAGCGGACAGACCTGCCGTCAGGGTTTGACGGCTGGCAGGCCATTGATTCAACCCCGCAGGAGCAAAGTCAAGGTAGGACTTGCCTGGAAAGGCTCTTCTACAGCTCCCAAGGGAGGCAGGGACATTTTGTAGGAAAACTGTGGTCCCCAGTCTTCACATACCTGGGCAGTGACGTCCTCAAGCTGGAGGTCTCACTCCTGCCATCTCACCCTGAGATGGGAGGAACAGATGCAGAAAATTTGGAGGTGGGAAACAAAACATTAATCCTCAAGGCTGTGCAGCAAGTGGGGTGTTGCCAGGAGATCGAACACAGGTGGCTGGACTTGGTTGACTCCATCACCGAGCCATGACTTTTAAACTTTGAAATTTTTTAAGTGAGGGGAAATACATAAAAGCTCTTAACAGACCTTGGTCATCTATAAAAAAGCCCAAACAGCTTTGGGATAAGTAGGGCCTTTTGGAGTTCAGCTCTGAGTTGAAAGAATATTTACTACTAAGAGTCAACTACCATGGCCACAGATTGGGTGGGTCCAAGGGTGGAACAAAAATTGGGGGCTCTGCCCGTACTTGGAGAAGCCAATGGTGTTGACTGTGCTTTGTAGGTCTTTTCCAGTGTGGTCCATGCCCACTGAAGGCTGTGCGAGAAGGGGATGTGTATCTGCCCTTTGACAGCAAGTTTGTGTACGCGGAAGTGAACGCTGACAAAGTCTACTGGGTTGTCAAGAAGGTGAACAATGAGGATAAGTTCATCAAGATCAGCACGGAGACCCGCGGCATCGGTGTGAACATCAGCACAAAAGCCGTGGGGCAGAACAGGCGGGAAGACATCACCGCAGAGTACAAGTTCCCTGAAGGTGACTGCCCCCATCCTCTAAAGTAGTGCCCAAGAGAAGAAAAGCCCAAAGAAATGGGCTGAGAGACCAACCCAGTGGTTGCACTCACCGTGGCTTCATTTCTTCTTCTTTTTTGTCTTTCCATTCCCCAGACCATATTGGAAACAAACAAAAAAAACCCCAACCACATTCCCTCCCCATGGTTCTCGGATCCAGTCGTGTTGTGCTAGGCTGTTAAACCCTTCCTAGTGAGGAGTGGGGAAATCTTAGGAGCATCCATCTTCTAAAAGTGTCTTTTTTTAGGAAATTCTCCCAGTCCAAAATGCTACAGTTATATCTGGTGGTAGCATAAAACAGGAGGGTCTCCTGAGCAGAGGCTGGAGGTGCCCAGACACCTCCCCTGGTGCTGCCCCAGCAGCAGAAGCATAAATAAAGGGAAGGTGGCTCTGGGTGAAGACACTGAGATACAGCTGTCACTCATCTTTTTCCTTCATCCAGGTTCCGAAGAGGAAAGGGAGTCTATGCAGAGAGCTACCTCCTTCTTACGCCCATCAGGACTGATGCCTCGTGCACACTTCGCTTCCACTGTGCGCGTGGATGAGAAGGGTTCCGAGTATGGGGTTGTGCAGGAGCCAGCCCCCAAGACTGAGGTCCTGAAGGAGGAGGTCCCCAAGAGTGGGCTCCAGCTTGAGATCACCAACAAAGAAGCTTTGCAACCTGGCAATCCCCTTGAGCTGGCCATCACAGTGAAGACCTCTGCTCCTGGGAAGTGGACCATCAATCTGGTTGGCTCCTGCCAGCTGCAGTCCTACACTGGGAAAATCCAGGCCAGCCTTGGATACATCAAGGAGACCGTCAACCTTGAAGGCAAATCTGGTAGGCACGGAAAGCTTGCTGGGTTCTGTGGGCTGTTTACTGGGGTAGTCTGGGGTTCCACTGGAGCTGGCTCATAACAGCTCTGCTCTAGGTCGGTGCACGGCTCCATAAGGAATTGCCTGCCTGCTGCCTCCCTGTCTTGTTACTGCATTTGGGAGCCTCGGTTATAAACTGGGATCTCACCGTAGTGGGGACCAAACCATGACGTCCCTGTCCCTGCAGCAGCTGCAGTGAGATGGTTGGAAATCCACCCATGTGGGCAGGCAGACGTTTGCACTGTGCGAGCAAGGTGTGCTGGAGCATCCTCCTCCTGTCCTCGCTGTGCAAGCAGCAAAGATGCCACCCACGGCAGGTGTCGGGTCACATCCCTCCCAGGGTTTAGATGGCTGGAGATGTCAGCTTTTTTTTGGTCTTGTGCCTGCCACTCCAACGTTGACCAGCTGGTGGTGATGCTGGTGAGCGTTATTTTCTGAATTCTTCCCCCAAGCCAGTTTCAAGCCTGCCTGGCCGATCCCCAGAGCTGTTTGCTGTTCCTTGCCTATCTCTGAGCAACCCGGGTTGCATTTCTGATCCCCAGAAGTGCGGCTGGAATTTGCTAAACAAGAGGCTAACGAGTGATGAATAATTAACAGCATTTCCTCATTCCCAGTGAGAGTCACTCACACAAAAAAAAAAAAATTCTTTGCTGCTGGTGATTACTGAGTGTTTTCACACTTACACTGTGGCTGTCAAAATGCAGCAGGGTATGACACGAAGTGAGCTACTCATGTTTAGAGATAAGGACAGGCTTTTTTAAAATTTTTTAATTCCGAGAAGCCAGGAAGCCTTGCAGCTAAAGCTGCTGACCCTGGGGCTTTTCCAAGCCACTGGAAGTTTGTCCAGGCAATGAAAGATAAAATCTGAAGTGAAAGGAAAGCAGCTGATTTTATCACAAGCAGTGCTCCAGAGAAACCCCAGGGGACACAGGGCTTAAATGTCCCCAACCTCATGCTCCTCTGCCTCCTCCTGGGTGCCAGGGCAGGCGGGGACGAGGGCTGCGAGATGCTGGATGTGAGCCCGAGCTTGATGGGGAGAAGGTGTGGGCTCCTCCATCCTTCCCATGGGCTCTGTGTGCCGGCTACCACTCACCCAGCAAACTCCAGCTGGTGGGTATGTGATGAAGCATCGAGTTGTGCTTTCTGTCCTGCAGAGATACAGATCCCTCTGACAATCCCAGCCGATACGTACATGAGCACCCTGGCCACGGTGGAGGATGAGGTGCACATCCACGTCACCGCCATCGCTGAGGTCCAGGGGACAGAGGACAAGCTCACCAAGGAGACGTCAATGAGCTTCGAGTACCCCCCCATCACTGTCCAGGTGAGAGCCGCCAGCCTGGCTCCTCGGGAACGAGGGTTAAAGCCCCCCGCTCGCTGTCGCACCATAGTGGTGTTGGCATTCCCGGGGAGATCCCCAAAACAGCCGCCTCTGGGGATGCTCAGTCCTTGGCATTTTATTTGGCTATTCAAGCGAGAAGCAAACCAGCAGCAGGTCTGACATCTTTGTTACCTCTCTGATCCCCAGCATTTGGGTTTGTTTCTCTCTTTCCAGATGCCAGAAACGGCCAAGCTGAACAAGGATTTCATCTGCGCCTTCATCTTTAAGAACAAGCTGAACGTGCCCCTAGGAAATTGCAAACTGCTGGTGGAGGGCTTGGGCATCTTCAAGATGGCGATGTTTGACGAGGGGTAAGGCGATGAGCCCAGATGAAATGAGGATTCTGCTTTGACTCTTTTTTCTTTTTCTTTTTCCTTTTCCCTTTCCTTTCCTTTCCTTCCCTTTCCTTTCCTTTCCTTTCCTTTTTTCTTTTCTCTTCCCGTTCCTTCCATTTTTCCTTTCTCCTTTCCTTTTTCGTTTCCTTTTTTCCCTTGAAGAAGCAGTTAGGGGATTTGTAGTAATGAGGCCCTTTGAAAGCCATGTTTGAGACTGCACTACATTTGGGCTTGGTCCAAATTTGAACACCAGGACCACCAGCCAGCGCCACTGTGTGGAGCCCCACTTGCCCCGCTGGACATCACAGAAGGGAAACATTCACCCTAAACATGTGACGGCTATTTCTTTAAGCGAAACAATTCAAAAAACATCAAATAAGAACTAAAACTCATGCTAGGACTATTTGTTTTTTCTTTCTCCTTAGGGACATAGAGCCTGGTAGGATCATTAAGTCTGAAATAATCTGCACCCCGACAAGACTAGGAGAGAAGAAAATCGTCGCCAAGCTGACCTCAACCCAGATCAAAGGGATCTCCGTGGAGAAGGCCATCACCATCACCGCGTAGGCTGGGTGGCCTCGCCAAACACGGAGCACGGCTGCGCATCTTGGGCACTTCTTACCTCCTCAATCGCTGGGTAGTTGTCTTGAAGTAAAGAGCAAAAAATCCCATGAAGCTAAGGGAATGAAACTGACTTAACGGGCATGGTGGCATTGATTGCAGTTGTGATTCAATAAAAGGTTGTTAAAATCCACTGTGTGATGAGGTTCAATGGGATCGCCTGGTTGGGAAGGCTCCGAGCCCACAGGGACATTCCCCCCCAGGCTGGGGACTGGAGCTTGTGACAGTGCTGGCTTCGGCCAGCGGGAGCCCGTGCAGCTCAAGGAACATTTTAAGCAAATCCCTCCTAGGCAATTCCCTCTCCCTCCCAGCTGGGGAAAGTCTTCGCACGTGCCTTTTTTGGCTTTAGACAACAAACAGAGCTAACCTGGCTCAATCCTCCCCAGACACCATTCTTCATACATTTGCCCTCCCACCCAAATTTCTTGGGGGGGGTTTTCAGGCATTTTTGGAAGAAGTACCATCTCCAGCACCGTTACCAGTGCTTCCCTGGGAATGTCTAACCTCCATCCTTCCCCTTCCACCCTGAACGCTGCTGGATTACGCGTTAGACCTTGACAGCAGCATACGTCCAGAGGTCTTAAACCCATAGGATGTGGAAGGAGGCAACAGCTGTGCACAGCTGGAGCTGCACACCCCAAGTGGCAAGGGATCTGGGGTCTGGGGGCAGTGACAGCAGGGAAGGGAGGAGCCGGCTGTCCTGAGCAGATGGAAAAATTAGTTCTTTAATAAGTACAACAGCAACCAGAGGTGTAAAAAGGAATTACAAACAGCAAAATAAAATATATGTATTTTCAAGAGATGTAAGTTTTTTACTTGCATAGAAAACCCACTGCGGAAGGGTTTAGAGGCGGCCGGGACGGCAGCAGCATGGCCTGGAGATGAAGGCACGGTTTAAAGAGAGGCAAAGAGTGCGAGGAGGGAGGGAAGGAGGATGGTGGGTTTGGTTTCAGTGCCATGAAAATCCCATTTGGTCTCAAGCTACCAGGTAGTCATCACAGAGAGCTTCTTCCCTTGCTGTCGCACTGCTGCACGGGGCAAAGATCCACGACCTTGTGTCTAAACGAGAGGACACCTCCATTCCCCCCCCTGCAGAGTGCTTCCCTTTACCTGAAAGGTTTTTATAAATACACTGTTCCCAATGATTTTTTTCTAAATCCAGTTTCATTGATGAAGAGGAGACATCCTTAAGGGACAGAGGATGGGATGAAGGTTTGGAAATCCCCCCTGGGTTTGAGCCAAGCTGTGCTCCCAGCAGCCAATGCACTCCCTTTGCTCCCAGTCCCTTTGTCAAAACAAGGGGCTGGTGGGGCACAGGACAAGTCATGGAGAGAATCTCATTCCTCCCCAGCAGCCCCGAATGTCACCCCATTCATATATTCATACATATTATGATGCCTT